ATGAAGCGCTCAGAGTATCAACAAACACTGGGTCTGTAGAGAGGGATTAGTAAAAGTAATAAAGTAAAGTAAAGCAATTCTAACACCAGTTCTGTAATGTGGAATAAATTGGTGATCCTGAAATAGCCTCATTGGTTGGCAAGGCTATCCTAATAGAAAAACTTGTGGAAGGGTTAGGGCCAAGATAGCCCTGGCTATTCATTGAATATCAATATGGGTGCATCAAAGCACTTGGATGTGTGGATAGTTGGTTAACCCTCAGCTAGGCTTATACTTAAAATGAAGTGGATTCCTGGGTAGGATAGTCTGTCTGAGGTGAAGCCACTGCAGCTGCTACTTCAAGATATTTACTCTCTTTTGACCAATTCAAAGTTACCACTTCATTCTGCATCACCACATAAAATGTCTCAGTAAAGGCGAGAAGATCTTTTACAACCAGGTGGTGCTTAATAATTTCATTGAGACTAGGAGTTTATGATACACTACGAGACAAAATAGTTTTCTGGTAACCTCCTGTATCACCCAAGAGTTGTATTTCTCGCCTTTTTAAGCTATCAGGCACATACTCAGACCTACAACCCTGAGAGAGCTGAGTTGACCACTAAACCTTTCACTGCAAGCCACTCATTCCACTCCTCTAAGTCAGTGGCCAGGCATGACTTGGGGTCCATTAGTTTATCAAACTGTAGCAACATTGTTTACCACCTGTTATTGGCTCCACTGCACCTGTTGAGCTAACAACAGCCTTGTATATTATGTTGCTCTGCAAGGAACAGGCTCTTCACTTGGAAGATACCCAATGCTCCACAAACAAAGTAAATGTTTTGATTCTTCCTTCCAGAATAATGTTTGAAAAAGGGGGTATCATTTGCATGAGCTGCAGCATACAAACCACGAGAAAAAATGTAGGTAAGAAACTAGCTTCCTTGTTTGAAACCTGCTAATCTACGCTAATCTAATGTTAACGTTATAAGCTTTCACACTTCCTGTGGTGCTACAGGGGGGGGGGTCTTTCAATAACACAGGCCTGCGTTTATAAACTTCCTAAAAGTTGTTTTGGTTTTATTAACGGATTTTCGATAATTCAGCTACGCAGGTTTTAAAAATAATATTCACTTTTTTTTCTATCACGTAAGGATTTTTTACAAATCGGGATGAAAAACCTCTTACTTAGATCAAATTATTATTTCGTTTCCCACTGGTTTCCAAAAGAGAGAGAAAAAAAAGAATTGTAAATTTGTATTTTTAAATTTTTTACGTGATAAAATTGTTTCATCACTTCCCATTTTTACCATTGCTATTACTATTAGTAATCCATTAAAATATTGTGAAGTAATTAATTCAACAATATGAAATTGGGAAAACAAATACTACAATTAAACTTTCATGGGCCTAGCATGGCCAAGCGATTAGGGCTCTCGACTCGCAATCTGTGGGTCGCGGATTTGAATCCCTGTCCTACCAAACATGCTCGCCCTTTCAACCGTAGGGACGTTATAATTTGACGGTCAATCCCACTATTCGTTGGTAAAAGAGTAGCCCAAGAGTTGGCGGTGGGTGATGATAACTAGTGGCCTTCCCTCTAGTCTTTCACTGCTAGATTAGGGACGGGTATCGCATATAGCCCTTGCATAGCTTTGCGCAAACTTCCAACCAAACCATAAACGTTCATGATAACCCAAATAGTAATCATTTTTTGATTTTTTTAAGGAGTGGGAAAACTATAGGAAAAAACGTGCAGTTCATTATTGTGAATTTTTCTGTATGTTTTCTTTATTCATTACAAGATATATACACAGGTACAGTGAGTGTGTTTAGATAGAAAGTAATTGTTTCTGTACCGTAGCATGTTTGTCTTTTCAGATATTACTTGCTCTGTAATCATAGTAGAAGAAAATACTCTCTAATTTGTATAATTTATTGGATTATATGGTTCACATAACAGGTTTGTAACAAAAATTATACGATTCTATATCTTTGTTCAAAATTATTAGATGTCTTTAAACTCCATTTCTATGTTACATACAATTAAACTATTTTTCGAATCACTTAAAGACTAAACATATTAAGCATACTATGACAAGGAAGCAGAATAACAACTAAATAATTCCACAAAATTGAGTTTATTGCATTTTTCTTTTTTCTTTTACTAAAGTAAATAAGCTTCATGAAAACGCCTAATTTTATCACTATACGTTGTATATGGAATTCTTTGATTATTCGGTTCTGTGTCTGTTTTCAAGTAGAAGCTTTTGTAAAGTCAAACAAATCACTTTCGGTCTTTGAACGTATTTTATACATTCACTTCAATCATGCTCCTGCAAGTGTGAATATGGAAATTACAGACATCAGGAATGGAAAATTTTCACCTGTTTGCCCTAAATCACCAAGCTTGAAACCGTGTGCAAGTAATTTCTAGGCCGATAAACTGTGGTACTTCTTACGAATATTCGCAGATTCATGTACGATCGTTGGAAAATACAACTGAAGACATTGCAAAGGAACTACATAAACTAGGCGAGGATTTGGAAGTGGCAAAAGTAGTTGCAGAACACATCCCTTTGTCAACGTTACATTTGGCTTTCTTCGACTTTGATAAAGCATTGTACGTGGACTGGACCATGCAGGTACAATTCCATTACTTATTCACTTTATCCCTGTTTGCATAATTTCGGATTATAGACAGTAAGATCAGTTATATGTATTACTAAATTTTAGTTAAGCATAAGATGTGTCAACCAAAAACTTCCTTTGTCAGTTAATTTAGGATTATTGGATACTTTCCTTAAAATTAACTAACTAAAAAGTGTGATATTTAAATCAAATAGATTTGTGTTTATCTTAGGTTATTAAAAACTGTTCATATTCAAAAAGAATTCATGTTGTAATATATATATATATATATATATGCGTGTACTCGTTTCAACAATAAGTCTTGATGCCTTTATCTATTGGATGTACATGTTTCACTTTCATTAATAAACAACGGCGGTTTGTATTTATTATGATGTAGATTTCTAACTGATAAGCTGTAACGATTTTGTGCTTAATACACGTCAGTTGGTTTTAAAGCAAATCCACATTGGGCTATCTGCTATGTCAACCGAGGGAGTTCGAGCCCTGGATTTTAGTGTTGTGAGTCCGTACACTTACCTCTATCTCACTAGAGGACTACACGTCAGTTAACATCTATTGGTTTGGACGAACAAGCATCTTTCATCAACATATTGTAGCTATTCTTGCGTAGTCGTAGGTCCTGTATCTTCGTTGGTAAATGGAAATACCAAATACATGATGAAAAGATATGTTATTTGCTTTGTTGAATACTTACAATGGCTGTTGCAGTAGACATAAGATATGTTACGTTAATATTTATATGCTCACTACTGATCAGAAAATTATTGCTATTATAGTACTTATTGTTTTTTAACATACATAAAGATCTATTGAAACTATACTAATTAATTGGAAAGGTCATTAGTTCACGAACTTTGATAATTAATGGTAAGAAAAAGTAAAGCATGTAGCTAATAAATTTGAAAAGCTTGTTAGTAAGTTGCTAAGCGCAAAACCCCACAGTGGGCTATTTGTTCTGTGTTCACCATGGCGATCGAAACTCGTTCTTCGTAACGCTATAAGCCTTTAGGCTTAGAAGTTGAAACGTTTTTAGGTTGTCTGCGCTGTGCCCACCACAGGGATCGAGCCCCGAATCATAACGTCACAAACCCTCAGGCTTAATTCTTACATACATACTTAATTTTGGTAACATCGTTCAGTATATTCCCTACATAGTGTAGATTGAAGTTATTACTGTGCTGCCCTCACGTGTTTCGTGTATGATATTATATATCCAAAGCTATGTATATTGATTTCAACACATAAACTCAGAATTATTTACCGTGTTAATTACTTACATAACGTAATGCATAAAATAACTTCGGTGTCCATTGACTCAGCAACTCATTTTTAAGACGTTAAAGTAAATAAAGAGTGATCCAAATGTTAACTCCTCCAGAGAAGTTTAGTATTTTTTTATTATTATTTTTGTCTGCCTCAGATTAATATACAAGTATTCGTGAACATTATATAAGAATGGTATACTGAATAACAAAAGATCAATGAATTTTGATTTGTAAACCAAATGCTGTCCTCACGGAAGAGACCTAAGTTTTGAGCCAACTAAATTTGGACCTTCATATACAATTTAAATGTGTTTTTTTTCATGCTTAGGTTGGTAAAATTACTACTAATTTAACGCTATGAATTCAAAAACGAAAGACTGAAATATATTCATAACTCAAACATATATCTAAAATCAGGACTTCAAGACTGGGTTTTCTTAACTTGCAGGTTGAAGAAGATCTCACACGTCTGTATGAAGTGTTTTCGTTCTTTAACAGCAGCCATGTGGTGGCTGCAGTTCATCAACAAACAGCAAAGTATGCAAAGATGCTGCAACTTTATAAACAAAGACATTCGGTATCTCCTCTTGGGGCTCCTCCGCCTAATGGAAATCCAGGAATCAACACAGGTGTTTTGCTGTTGCATTTGTCAAGAATGAGAAGCCAGGGTGTTTACAAGTAAGACTTGTGTAAAATTAAGATATTTATAAATATATATAACGAACAACTAGATGTTTTTGCTGTTTCCGTGCTGTGTCCAAACTCCTTCAAACTTCATCCAAACTGCTCACAGAGCATTTCTGATCCTCTGTCAAAAGCCAACTACATCCCATTTCTAGACGGCATATAGGAACTAGTGTTGAACTCCAGTTTCAAGGGAACAAGCGGATAAGAATGGCGACACATTCTACCTGGACTGAATCACAGTCCATCACATTCTGACCCCCCTTCATTTTTTTTTATTTCACTGTCTCTTACTTTATCCCTAATATATTCTTCATCTACCAATTGCATAAGCATTATCTTTTGAACTAAACTTTTGTTTTCATGTTATGCCAAGTATTAACATAATTATATAAGTCGTGGTTATTTTCAGTTTCAGCTATAGCTTTAGATTCATAGATATTAAAATATACACGTTCAAATATAATATGCTAATTATAACTTTTAATACCATAGTTCTAGTTTTTTCTTGTTTGAAAATCTCTTTGAATAAACTACATTCTTATTCAATTAACACCTTTGCAAAAGTTTCGTAAATATATGCGTTCAAAACCCTGACTTTTTGGATATGTTTGTTATATTTAGTCGTTTGTTTTTGTTGTTGTTATTTTTCGTACATGATTTATTTCTCCAAACCTTTTTCTAAAAAATAAATAAATAATTTTATTTACATAATTTACATATTTCTTACATAAATATATAGAGTATGACAGATCAACTTACAAACCAAGAAATTATTATTTTTTACTACTATTTCAGAAACATGATTCAAAGTTCAACACTTCGCAAACTTCAAGCGAAGTATCATTTACAGAAAGAAATGGATGATGCCGATTTTCTGTCGTTTCTTAGTTTTGAACACCCCAGATGTATTTACATTCTTCCTTGTCATTGGAACTTTCAACTTAAAACCGAAGACTATACTGAGGAAGCAGTGAATAAATATCAACAGTGCCATGGCCATAAGTATCTAGTGAACATCAGAAACCCCGAAGACTCTTCAGTGTTATATTAATAAAACATTACTTGAACGTTTGTTTTTCTTTGTTACTTGTCCATAAATTATATATATATATATATGAATGGAATTATATATTTCGTCACTTACAGAAAACTAGAAAAGCCAAGTTTATAGGCACTCTATACAAGTTTTTAGTATTTTATACAAATGACTGATGTCAATGAACTAGATAGAGACAGACTTAAACAAATCATTGATAAAAATGTTCGATATTAGATAATTTTAAAAACGCTTTTTTAAACGTTTCAACAGCCGTAACGTGAACAATAGAGTTTCACGTAAACGTACGTATCTCAGAACTTGTTTATAGAGAAGAGTTTTGTCTATGCAATAAATGAGATAATAGACTCTGCGCATTCATTTATAGCACGATATATTATTTCTTATTTGTTTTATAACGTGAAGCCTGTTTATTATATTCATTCCATACTAGATGGCGCTCCTACAATGTTATAAAGAGGATGCAAACACAAGGAGTTTCTGAAAAGTTTTTTTTATTTTAGGCATAAAAGTTATGCCATCCAGAGACTTAACTTAACATTTAAAGGGCTAATTACTTACTCACAGTACCATTCTAATATATAAGAGCAATTATTTTTAGAAAGTTGAAACTTGATACTCCAAAAGACTTTTAAGGAAAACTTTTAAACTGAAATGTTAAGACATTTCCAGGTAAATATATATATATATATATATATTATGTTAAGACATTTCAAGTTAAATATATATATATATTATATTAAGACATTTCGAAGAAACAGGTCTCTTTTTTATGGTGTACTTTTAGATTAATGATAAATTTCCCTGAGTTTTCTAAAATCTGTATATGTGTTGTTATTCTAAAATATAAGTACACATGAAGAAAAAACATGAAAATAAGTAAAATTGACTATCCAACAAAACTATGCATTAAAAATGAAAGTAAAACTTGTACTCGACGGTAATTCACCATTAATCAAAACCCAAAAGACCCAAACAAAATTCGATGACTAAACTGTATACTATGGTTATCAGTCATTATATTTCAAAGTAGAACTGCCGCTCCTGTGCTAGTATTCACACCTCATTGAAAAGGTTTTAGAAAAAAAGTGAACACCTTCTAAAAGATGGTATTTATGGGAACTACTGCACTGGAAAAGTTTTCGGATTATGCTGATATAAACGATAATGTTTTTATATGTTAAAAGTGGTACTATATTTAGTATTGTTAGTACTATATTTACAAATTACATCAATAAAGATCGGG